AACTTTTGTGCGCCTTCAATTCTTGATATTAAACTGTTTTTCGAGTAACCAGCCCATTAAATAGTAGAAAAGAGAGCCACTGAAAAAATACATTTACACGTTGCTCTTAAGTATCAAGAAGAATCATGAAATGGATAAAGAGCGCCCGCCCGGAAGGGTGATACAATTTGTTAGACACGACGAAAGTTGAGAGCGGAAAAGTTTCCTCTGTTAAAACGCCTGCAAGAGGCGATGATACAAAAAGCTAGGCAACATCCTGAACTGAAGGCGTCTCGCAAATAACGATTGCCCGACACTTTTAAAGCGCCTTCAAATCCCTCTGATACAACTTCTCGTGCTCCGTTCCCGGTGCTGCATGCCGCACGGTATCCTAGTATAGAAACTCTCACCCGCTGACGTTAGTTTAATTCAGTTACAGCCAAAACTGCTCGTCATAGAAAGAACTTAAAATAAGGTAGACACCAAATATTTTTAGCATGAGCATTCCAATTATCTCCATTATTAATGGGGACCGAACTAATAACATTCTAATTATTTTCTTTCTCTCCAGTTTTTTTTTTTTTTTTTTTTTTTTTTTTTTTTTTTTTTTATTTCCACTCGACTGACGATTTGACTGCCTAATTTTATAGTTCACAATATTGAATTAGCTTACTACTCCAGCATTTTTTCTAACAATGATTTATTGGACTGCATATATTTAATAATTTCAAAGGGATTTAAAGAAATCACTGAGCCAAAACCAAGAAATACATGTTTAAAAACCCTCCTCACTATGTCATTTTAAAATGACGTAAACTAAGAGAAAAGCACAAGCCTTCGACAATAATAATTACTGTTTTTTTATTAAAAAGCATCAAGTATACAATTACGTATAGCTAAATGTATCGTACTTTCAGGAATTTTCAAAGGTATAGTTATTTGTAGATATGTAAATTGATTTCAGTTTTAAAACAAACGCGACAACGAATTTCATTGCTCAACTTATATTTCCTACATCATATAATTAAATCGCATCTAAGAAAAAGGAACTAACTTGATTACATTGTTTTCAAAATCGGGCAACTTCTTTCTTTTCTCTTAATAGTACCGAACTATACATGAAGTATTACAATTTACACAATTATTTCCCATTAAAACCAATAATTTTTTGGTGGGATGCAAATACTATTTGTTGAGATAGGATATTTTTTAGATAATTATGAAGACGCGACATTTTAACAACACTGTAATTGTGTTGGTTCCTTTTCGCTGGATGTGATCCAATTTTGATACTAAGGAGGAAATCAATCTATTATTATTTACGCTTCATTACATTTTTGAGAGAGGCACCTTGAAACTTCAAAAAAAAAGCGACGCAATTGTAATTTAAGAGTATCTTCTTCTAATAACTTACCAACGATCAACTCTCTCTGGTGACGCAATATTGAACTAAACGCCGACTTCTCTCCTCTCCCTCGCAGCACCTTTCATCGAAGGCCCATCGGGCCATCGCGCGTCACCTGTCGCCAGTCTGTCTGGCAATGTCTCCGCAATCCCTCAGGAATTTGCGGAAGCGCCGGCGCCCAGAGATTTTGAGTTGGTTTCCGAGATTTGATTTCTCCGTTATCTGATTCTTCCACTCCTGACCCACTTTTTCGGGTGTAAGGGGTGACCACCCACGTCGAACTTGCGGAATCAGTGCACACGCGTCCTCCTGTCGTGCGGTTCTGATCAAGTGGCGTGGCGTGCTTTGCGATTTATCGATTGTTCTGCCATTCAAACCTATGGTAAAGAATCGATTATTAAGGTGTTCGCTGCGAACACCCTTTCCATAGGTTTAAATGGCATAACAATCGATTTATCGCAAAGCACTCCACGCCACTGATTCTGATCCATGACACATGGTTGCCTGGTGATTTTCAACGAGGAATTCGAATCGGAGATCAGATTTGGGCTTCCATGTGCTAAAATACTATCAGCATCTAGGGCCGTCCTTAAATTACGTGAGACACCCCTTTACACCCCCCCTTCCCGCCTCCAATCATCGAAAGGGTGAAAACGCATGATATAGTGTTGGAAAAAATTGGTGCTCTTTGAAGCATCAAATAATCGTATTAAAGAAAGTTTTTCAGGGAGTACTAATTGTAAAAGGACATATGTGCTTTAAAGAAAGGGAAAAGAAAAAAAAAAGGAAAGAAAGAAAGAAAAATGAGAGGGGGGAGGGAATTAATAAGTCTGGACAGTTTTCGGGAGAAATTCATTTTCAAATCTCATTTTCATCCCTTATGAAGCAGACATTTCACCTTACGTAGGGCAGTGCCGCAGTACTGAGAAGAAGCCATATAAACCAATTAGTGGTTCACATGGGGCACTACTAATATGTAGTAGTAAAGGCAACTTATAATAATAGCACATATACCTTAGTGATGGTCTTCATACCACAGTATGGTAAGAGGTAACTTAGTATGGTTCACAGACTAAGAATCATTAGTTCATTTACGACTATTAGTGATGTTCCATAAGAACCACTAATTGATTTATAAGCCATAGATTTTTCTCCGTGTGGACCTTTTTTATTTTGATTTATTTTAAATGGGCCGACCTTTATGTTCAACAGCGAACCTTCATTTTCTTCAAAATCGGATCATTTTGAAAGTCATTTTATAACCACAGTTTTCACTTAAAATATTGTTTCGAGATCGTTTTGTGTCGCGCTCACGCTCATGTTGTCCAGCAGCCCAATTTGCCGAGCATACCCGCAAAATGCGGAACACGTGAGCATAAATCCAAGGCGATGAATCACGCTACTCCCTAAATTGTCGGAGTGATAAAGAGCCTCAAGGCAGCGTTGCTCCAGTAACACAGTGAAAATTCGGAAACTGTCGTTGCTGAAGAAAAAGGGGCTGGGGGTAATAACGAAATGAAACTCATCGAAACAGAGCGGAATGATAACCCCTGGCTCGAGAGCCAAATCGTTCGCAACAACACGGGGAGCCGCAGGTTTCCCAGCTCCATCTGGCGGCGATGTTGCACAACTGTATTCCTCCCTCTGAAAAACAGCAGCTGTTCGGCTTGTAAACAATTTATTCCGAGCAGCCCGGCGCGTGCACTCCGTTTTTCACCCGGAATGATCTCTCGTGAAAATTGTTGTTTCGTCGCGAGGCAGGGTTTTCAGCCAAGTTCGGCTGTCCATTTTCCGGTTGCCAGGAAATCATGAATTAAAATCAGAACATGCGGGATTAATTAGACACATTTTCACGATCCAATATGATGAACATTGGCGAATCCAGCAAATTGACAACACTGTTTTTCTCCATTTAAACCTATGAAAATATATCGATTCTTGGAGTGGCCAGGTATAGATTGTTTTCGATACATAAAATAGGTGAGATTGTATTCGATTGGTTCAACATGTAAACATAGCCTCGAAAGTCAATCGAGTAATCTGAGGGAACGGGGTTTTTTATTCTTATGAGAACTAAATGGCATCGCAAGGTGAAATAGTTCGGAATTTTCTCATGTTCAGCTTTACCGACTGAAACACTGAAAGTTTTGTTTGAGGTTATGTTCCATTGTTTTGAGCCAAACGATACATCGAACCACTATCAAAAACGATCCATTCCGACCAGAATCGATTATTTAACACATGCTTAAATGGAGGATCGCACGGAATGTAACGAAAGAATATGAACTATGCAAAACGATAATCCGGGTATCGGAACTTGGCTGATTTGAAAACGCCTTCAAATGCGGCGTGATACCTCACGCATTCCGGAGAGTTCAAATAGTTGTATCATCGCGCCTTAGAAATGCGACGGAAAATTGCAATTGAAGTAGCCTCCATGCACGATGGGCTTGTCGATTTCCGTTAACATTTTTGCAGTCATGAATGCGCTTAAGTGCGCTTCAGCTAGAATTGTATTTAGCAAATGGGTGGTTTTTCTACGAGGATTAAAAATAAACGAGTGGTACGGAATATAACAAAAGAATATGAACTGTGCAAAACGATAATCCGGGTATCGGAACTTGGCTGTTTTGAAAACGCCTTCAAATGCGGCGTGATACCTCACGCATTCCGGAGAGTTCAAATAGTTATATCATTGCGCCGTAAGAATGTGACGGAAGATTTAAATGGAGATAGCCTCCATGCAGGCTCGCACATCCCGTCTCGGGCCCTGGTACCAGTTTTAAGGTCCGGGCCCCAAGCACGGAGGGGGGGGGGTCCGAGGGGCATCCTTCGAGGAATTTTAGAATTTATACGACTAATTGGACGCATTTTGAAGCTTCCATAAAGGAATTTTTCCATCAATTTCTGCGGAATAATTATGTTTTTCTTTTTTTCTACTTTCAGCACAAAATACTTGCGAATTGTTGCATTCAAAACATCTGGAATTTTTTTTTCTTTTGGGGGGGGGGCATATGATACTATTCTCTGTTCTAAGAGGGCCAGGCCCCCCTGGACTCCCCCTTCGTTTGTCTATGGCAAGGGAGTTGAGCCATGAGCCATTGAAGTCGAGGATGCACAGACTGGAGACTCTTAGCATCTGACGACGGAAGAAAATGAAACGCAGTTACTAAAAATATCCCTCTGTACTGAAAATCTTGAATATAGATAGGAACTTTCCAGGAAGTATACTTCTTTGAAAATTTAAGAAGAATTCTACAGTGCCGCAGCGTGTTTCTGAAAATCTATTCACCTTTTGCGAAATTTTTAAGGGTAAAATTTTCACTTTTTCTTACGAAACAAGGGTCGCACGTGAATTCGTAGTGGTTTTTCACGGGTAACACGGGCCCCCTCCGGGGCCCAGGCCCCGATACCAGGAACCCAGTATCCCCCCCCCCTTGTGGCGGGCCTGGCTCCGGGTGCTACACGTGAAATTTTCAGCCTTTGACCCCGGAACGCGGACGGTATGTCTATATAGCCCGTAAGTACGACTTCCACAGTCGGAGTTTCTCTTTCAGTTTGAGATCTGCTCAATCCAAATCGTGATGTTAATCATTTTTGCATTCTCTGATTCCAGGTCTACACGAAAAATAGGCGGGACTCCCGCGTGCACGCATCGCCGGAGCGACACGCGACGAAAGAGGGCAGCAAGTACGCGCGCCTGACCCGACAATCAACGGCCATCGACGAGAGCTGCCTCCCGCCGGGCGGATGGGGTCGCCGCGGCTCGCAGCCGACCCTCGGAGTCGACGGCGAAGACGGGAACCGGAAGGCCCGGCGGGACTCCCTCACGCCGGACTCGGCGGTCGGGCGCCGCGACTCCCGCACCCACCTCTCCCCGGACCGCTCGACGGAGCGCGACACCTCCCCCGGGCGGACCCGCCGCGGGAAGCTCCGCCGGCAGTCGACCTCCATCGCCAACCGCCGCCGCGGCTCCCACTCCCCGCGGTCCCCCGAGTCCTCCTCCACGTGCTCCTCCCGCGACGCCTCCCCCTGCAAGTCCAACTGCCCCATCGTCTCCGCGGCCGCCGCCCCCGTCATCCGCCGCCAGTCGACGACCGAGGAGATCCTCATCGCCCGCGGGTTCCGCCGCCAGTCGACCACCGACGAGATGATCCGCTGCCGCAACTTCCGCCGCCAGAGCTCGCAGTCGGACGACGTGTGCCGGTATCGCGGTCGGCGCGACTCCAGCGCTCAGATCACCGATGGAACCATCCACACCATGACCGTTGAGACCACTAGTACCTTCTTCGACTCCAGCACCCAGACCGGTGAGTCATTTTAAATATCTTTCTTTACGCGAACTTTCGCGAGTAGAATTGGTTAGGTTTTTGACTGGTTTCATGTCCAGAGAATGACAGGAGACAGGTTGCCGAAGAAGGTCCTTGATTGGGTTCCTCCCGGGAGAAGACGCAGAGGGCGACCAATGAAAGGTTGGAGGAAGGGGATTGAAGCGGTAATGTTAAGGTGATCAATCCCCCAAGATTTGTGGTTTGAAAGAGAGCAGTGGAGGTTAGGAGTCGTAGAGCGCGAGGGAGTGCTGTAAAGCACCCCCTCGCGTGACTTATATTCATGTTTTGACTGGAATATGGCATTTCGAAGCAGTAGGTATGACCCTCGGGTGAGAAGGAAATTATCATATCATGAGAAACTAAAATACCACAGGAGGTCAGCCAGCTGGGTCATCCTGATTGTCATCGCTGCCTGGCCTGGGTCAGAAGGTCCCGGGCTCGAAACTCGGCAGTGGCGATACATTTTCACGAAACTGACCAATCGATCTGCTGAAAAACACTCCACTCGACCTTAATCGTTGAAAATCCGAAAGGCTCAGATCATGGATGCGTCCATCGCCCTGTCCGCGGACATTCTGTAACGTCTATAGGTGGCTGTAAATTCCATGGTGGATTATCATTTACATAAAGGCCGTATTTATGATAGTTACGTAGGTTTTAATTAAAATAAGGAAACATTTCAGTGATATAGTTGTCACGGAAAAACTGGGCTGTATTTTGCAACAAGGAACTACTACTTTTGGCGGACACATAGTAGCACCTATCTGCATACGGAAACCAATGGCACGAATGCTGTTTCTAAAGGCAGCCAGAAATAATAGTCTCTTATATTTCAAAATGTTGTCAATCTGTATGTATAGCCACATAGCTAAACGTTACAACATCACTATAATGTAACGAACAATCGTAAACAGCGATTCAAATAACTGTCCCAAAGACGAGTCCATAAGTAAACCGTTTGGACAGACTTACGGGACTTGAACTGGAGGAAGACCGTTTTCGTAGGCTGCAGGCCGATGGGAGGGAGAGATACCATCACCCTCTCGAGAGAAATTTTTCCTATCTTCTGAAATGGGCCTGATGTGATTTTTTCCTACCTCAATATGACACATAGGGTACGAAGTTGAATGGGGTAAACTAACTGGAAAATGCTCCGTGAGGAGACTCCCGAAAAGCTGAATGCGCTTATCGTGATATTTCCATTCCATTGTTTCCTTCGACGACTCACTGGACTTCTGAGCGGTAATCCAGGATTGCGTGCAAGGTCTAAGAATATATATGAAGATTGCGCGATAAAGACACAAAGATTGCGCAAATAGAAACCGTAACGTCTGCCACAGGAATGCGCGAATTTAAATGAAGTTAATTTGAGGTAGACGTTTGGCAAAGGAGGAAACAGTTGGAAAATAAACGCATTTTTATGGTAACGCTATAGTTGCACGGAAAAAAATTTAATGTTGATTTAGCATTTATACTGTTAAAAAGATGTCCGACAAGTTTCAAATGCTGATTTTACATTTTAACAAATGCAAACGTAACTACGCCCACTGGAAAACGAACATATTTAAATGTTATGTTAGCATTTTTGTGATGTAAAATCAGCATTTGAAACTTGTCGGACATCTTTTTAACAGTATAAATGCTAAATCAACATTCAATTGTTTTTTCCGTGTGAGGTTAGTTTGTTGACAAGTCATCGACGTCTTAGAACCTTCTGATGATAAATGAAGTGAAAAGATTGAATAATGGGCGTGGGTATAAAGAAATTTCCCACCTTTTCTCGGAAATAATATTTAATCGGGAGAAACGAGGCAACGTTGGAATGCTCATACGGTGCGGCGTCGAAACCAGATACAGTCGAAACACAAAATGGGCCTGGTAAGCCCCAGTATTCAATGCCGCGATTATTTTAACGCGAGTCCGAATAATTGCGCCAAACACAATGCGGCCGGCGTTAAACGCATATTAGTGCCTGCAAGACTGGAGAGATACTTCACGCATCGCGCCAAACAGTGCGGTCGGCGTCAAGCCCATATCAGCGCCTACAAGACTGCATGAATACTTCTCGCATTGCGCCAAACGCAGTGCAGTCGCCGCGCAGCGGCCTCAGGCCCTTCGTTCACTTCTTCGCGGGAGAAGAGGCACTCGTCTTCTTTGCTCTGGGTCATTCGTGCTGCGAGGGCTCTCCATCCTATGGCAGCCCTACTGAGCTCATAGGAATCGCATATCGATGGCCAAAGTGCACGTATATTCATTGCGGTGTTTTACAATATCCGCCCCTATCTTATATATTTGAAGAGAAACAAATCAACTTTACAGTTTGAAAATACAGAATATTCTGCCAACAAAGAAAAAAATCAAGATAGTTTTCAAGAAATTACGCTGACTGATTTTCGAACGGAAAAAGAAAGTTTGGCAGGAAGTCTGCAACGTCGCAAATGGAGGTGCGTAGTCTCGCACTCTTCGATTATTAGGTTTAGACGAGTAAAGTAATGAGAACTTAAACGATGGATTGTGTTCTCTTTGCTGTATGGCTGCTAAACGATGTTATAAAGTATAGATGGGTAAAACTGTTCAGTTTATGTTACCTTCATAGTCTAAGAACCTCAGTGAATGAAATTGAAAATGATGCATGGCAATACATGAACCTCCCACCGGGTCAATACTTTGCATTCAAATTGAGGTATGTGTTTTGATAAATTTCTATATCATCCATGCAACAAAGGGGGCAGTACCACAATTTTAGACTAACCCCTAACACTTTTTCCATGTTCGTTTTTTTCCGGCAATTTTACACGTATTAACTTATTATCGTAAATATTAGGAGTATGATACGTTCACTTACTGAGGTAAAAATGCCTCCAGTTTGGTATTATTTAAGTTATATTACAACCACTTATTGGTTTCGAGAATCCCTATGAAAATATGAATGTTATAAAAATGTTTACATTCTTTACATACATTACATATGTTGCATTACATTCCTTCAGAAGCTTCGTTCATTCCCCTTGACTAATATCCTCAACTTTACTTTTAGAGAGAGAAAAAATCCAAAGAATGATCTAGAGAAGCAACTGTAAGACTCTTGGAGAGAAATAAAAATAGTGTGCTGATAATCAAGAGGACTCGCAAACTTTGATTTGACATAACTACCGTCAGACCGCGATTATGTAAAAATAAGTGAACCTAAAGGAACAGAACAAGAGGCTCTTGATTTAAGAGGCCACGCGAGGTTGCCAATTCAACCTTTCGTTTGATTTGTGGCAAAGATGTTTTACATGTCTTTGGCTGGTGTATCTCGGATTGTATATCAACAGTAAGTTTTGGAACGAAGTAATAATATTAAATCTGCAGGGTTGAAACATGTTGAAGGTGATACTGCAGGAATACGTACGAGTATGTCGTTTCAGGTGTTTCAAAATATAAACCATGTTGTCCCAATTTATTTCGTAAAAATATCATCTATAATAAATTTGCACTGCACGGAATTTGTGCGCACGTAAATGAACACATGAAATGTAGTCGGTTTAAGATTTCAGTTTAGTTGATCAAAGTTTATTCGGAGTGTGTGATTCTCGAGGGCTATTTCGAAACATCTTACGTGCTAAATAACTTTTACTCTATCCAGCGATTTGAGCACTAGATATTTTATTACTAAATCTGCAATCCTTGCATTTTCTACACTATAATCTTAGCCAACAGAAGCAACGTGATGAAGGTGCATAATAACGCCTGAGTGCAACTATTGCAACGCTGAAGATGTCCATGTTGCATGCGCAAAAAATGAAGGCGCTCAGAGTGACATTCATGTCACCGCGCTCCTCCCTCAGGAATGTTGCAACGCCGAGAACTTTTTAAATTGTTGTGTGGGTGCTTCTGTCTCTCTCTCTCTCTTTCAAAATGATTAGTTCAATGATGAATCATAATTTAAAATAAGTGTAATTGCGGTTTAGTTAGTTCAACATTTTGCGACATTGGAATGAAAGTATAGGTATTTAAACAAAGGTATAAAGTTATTTGTGAAGAGAGAAATAATTGAGGGCTAAATCGACCGAAGCAAAGAGCAAGGCCTTTTTGTTCCTATCTGTCGTCAAAAGTTTTGCTCTTGCGAAAGTAAATAAAATAATCGCGAGGGCTCTTGAGACGAGGGACCCGGTTTGTGGCCACATCGCCTTTAATAAAATGACGAATCCACGGAAACTACTTCAATTGAAAAAATAGCTCATTTTCATTTGACAACGCTCTGAAAGTATTCTGAGTTGACTGAGGTTGCATTTATTAAACACTTTAAGAATTTTATAAACACGTCAATGGTCGTTTCAAAACGTATCGCGTGGACCAGTTAGATTAAGAAGCAATTTTAGCTTAGAAAAGGAGATGAATGGACCACTAGACAAAGTACGAATTTTAGCAATCGGACACATGTTTCTTAACCAAAATTTCACGTAAAACACGATTCACACAACGAAAATTACTGAAACCAACTCCTAACGAAGATATTAAATTTTTTATTTCACATTGGTTACGAGGAATTTGAACTACCCGCTCACGAGAAACTCAAAACTCTACGTGAGTCAAATCACGCATTTCAACGTTTTCAGCAAGCTTCTCAATCGAGCAATGTTCATTTCCCACCGTGTGTTGTTCAAACTATCAGCAATTTGGTATAGCTGAGCCAAAGCGTCAAGATTGAGGTTGCCAGATTTTTATATTGCAGGGACTGTCATGATAACACACAAATTTTCTGGTAAACTTGTACATATTTCCCCTCCAATTTTTCAGATAATTTTGCTCACAATTCCTCCGAAAAGTCCTGAAAATTTCAAGGGAAAATATGTATGACTTTCCTAAAAAATTAACAATTTGTTGAGGTAGAACTGGCAACTCTCGAATATTCATACGACGTTCTTCCTTACCACGGCAGTGTTGCTCCCTCATAATGTCCATAGGGAAGTGTTGAACCCCCGGAAGTAAAAGCT